GTGTACCAGACACAGGTTCAAGGTAATGTTTGGTGTCTGTTGACAGCAATGTGTAGAGGGCACACACACACTCCTGAGTGTAACACACACACACACACACACACACACACACACACACACACACACACACACAAATAGGAACAAAAGGGAGCACTTGATTAAAAAAACAATAATTTACAAACACAAATGCTATTTTTCTTTGGTGCTCAACAACATTTTATCTTTGGACATTTTAATCATTAAAAAACACAAAAGGAAAAAATTTAAATTATTATTTTTTTAAATCTCACTTCTTTTTTGTTAGATAATGACATAAAAAGACAGAGAGGAGCAGATTGATGACTGATTTTCCTGTTGTTCCTTATTTGGGACAGAAGGCTGTGAGGTTGTGTTGTTATTGTGTGTTTTGTAGCGTCTCCTCAGTGCAGCAGACAGCTGTGGCTTAGATCAGCAAAAACAACAGCACCAAAAAAAAAAAAACAGTGAGCAAAACTAAAGTTTAGTACCATCTTCATCACTGAGAACCTGTTTAGTTTTATGTACTAATTTGAACTCAAGCTGAATAAATGTTTCAAAAGCAGCACAGAATTGCAAATTTACCCACAACAGAAAAAAATCCCCCTTTGACTAATTTATTTGGTTTCTTTCACCAGTTGTTTCTAGCCCTTGTTAGTTATACAAAAAGCACAAAGAAAAGGGAAGTTAGTGACTTTCAGAGTCTATTCCAAGATTTTTCTGCATTGAGCAACATGTCTTAAATTCTTTAGAGGTATTGAAAGCAGTGTCCAAGGTCATGTACCATTTTTTTATAACCAATCAATAACACATCTGATTGTCCTTCATGTGTTTTCAGATAACCGCTGTATGGATCGACACTTCCTACCCTCTCGCTCTAAGCAGCTGGTGGCTCTCGCCAGCTTCCCCGGAGCTGGAAACACCTGGGCCCGCCACCTCATAGAGCTCGCCACTGGCTTCTACACAGGCAGCTTCTACTTTGATGGCTCCCTCTACAACAAAGGTAGGTCTCAACAGGCGCATGGTTCTCCATGATTCAAAGCTTTACGTCAGTGGACCAAATAAATAGCCTGTGCATCGGTTTACAGGCTTCAAAGGGGAGCGTGATCACTGGAGGAGTGGGAGAACGATCTGTATCAAGACACATGAGAGCGGTAGGAAGGAGATTGAAGCTTTTGACGCGAGCATCCTTATGATCCGTGACCCGTACAAAGCCCTCATGGCTGAATTTAACAGGAAATATGGTGGACACATTGGGTTTGCCTCACAGGCCCACTGGAGAGGAAAAGGTAAGCTGCTGAAAGTCTGAGGTCCAGATGAATAGATGGATGGATGGATGGATGGATGGATGGATGGGTGGATGGATGGATGGATGGATGAACGGACGGACGGACGGACGGACGGATGGATGGATGTATGTATGGATGGATGGATGGATGGATGGACAGACAGACACATGGATGGTCTGTTGATGGATGAATGGACAGACGGATGGATGGATGGTCTATGCATGGATGGGTGGATGGATGGATAGATGGATGGACAGATGGACGGATGGATGGATGGATGGTCTATGCATGGATGGATGGATGGACAGATGGATGGTCTTTTGATGGATGGATGGATGAATGGATGGCTAGATGGACAGACGGATAGATGGATGGTCTATTGATGGATGGATGGATGGATGGATGGATGGATGGACAGATGGACAGACGGACGGACGGACGGACGGACGGACGGATGGATGGATGGATGGATGGATGGATGGATGGATGGATGGATGGATGGATGTATGGACAGATAGATGGATGGTCTATGGATGGATGGATGGATGGATGGACGATCTATTGATGGATGGATAGATGGATGGACGAACGAACGTGTGGTCTGTTGATGAATGGATTATAGATGGAGATGGATGGATGCACTGATGATTGGTCTGTTGGATGGATAGATGAATGGATGGATGGACGGACGGAAGGATGTATGATCTGTTGATGGATGGATGGATGGATGGATGGATGGATGGATGATGGACGGATGGATGGATGGATGGACGGATGGTTTGTTGGATAGATGGACAGATGGAAGGATGAATGGTCTGTTGATGGATGGGTGGACGGACAGATGAATAGGTGGATGGATGGATGGATGGATGGATGGATGGATGGACGGATGGTTTGTTGGATAGATGGACAGATGGAAGGATGAATGGTCTGTTGATGGATGGGTGGACGGACAGATGAATAGGTGGATGGATGGATGGATGGATGGATGGATGGACAGATGGATAGAAGGATAGATGGTCCATTGATGGATGGATGGACAGATGGATGATCTGTTGATGGACGGATGGATACACGGACGGATGGATGGAAAAATAGAAGGTCTGTTGATGGATGGATGGACAGATAGATGGTCTGTTGATGGACGAACGGATGGACAGCTGGACGGCTGGATAATTCCAAACGTCACCTAAAAGAGGAAGTTGTGATGACAGAATAGCAACAAACTGGATGAAAAAGCAAGAATATGATGCTCAGTGATGCAGATTGATGAGGAAATGCATCAGATGTGGCTTTAACCCAAACCAATGTGGCTGAGTCTAAATGTTTTGATGTGTCTGCCTAAAAGGTTTTTTAGAGAAATGAAGCGAGGAACTGCTCAGCCACTTCCTTAGTCACGCTGATGGATGTACTCATAGTACACGGTCACCTATCTTGTGATTCAGTCTCCCAGCTAACACACACACACACACACACACACACACACACACACACACACACACACACTTTTGTGGTGCGTGATGGTTTGCAGAACCGTTCCCAGATGCAGCCTGAAGGATGACACACGTGGAATTAAAATTACAGTGAGGACTTGCTGAACCAGCTCATCTCTGTTCCCGTCTTAATCAGCTAACTGGAACAGAAAGTGGCTCCAAATCTCAGCGATGAGTACGAAAAATTACTCAGTGACCTAACTGAGGAAAAAGAAGATAATTCAGTTTTGTCTGGCTAAGAAAGATGAAAAAGTTTCATGACATGACTCGGGATTTGTTACCAGCACAAATCCAACCCACCCAAGTATTTAAATATATCTAATCTACTGAAAGAGACATTTTGTACTCAGGTGACTCCACCACTAAGCAAAGGCAAGAATTTATGTATGTAGAAAATGTGGAAGCAGCATTTTTTAATCTGTGTACTCATCACAGTTTGTCAAAATGTGTTTAATGTAGACCTTGACACAGATGTCCGACAAATAAAAATAAAAACATCAACAGAATCCATCAGGAAGTCAACGATCCACTCAATAATCACGGCGTGCCTTGAACTTTGACCTTTTGTATTAGATTTATCCAATGAGCCTTTCTATCTAATAGTTGCACATTTTGTTAAACATCCCATTCCTTCCTTGTGCAGCTAGTTAATAGTGTCACAGCTCTGTTTGCTCTAGTTTTATATGAATCCCAGTTTGGTTTCATCTCTTTATATTTCATACTTTCTGTTATCATCTTCTCATCACTTCCACCCACCTTTACCGCATCCCGTAACCATAACTACCAGTTTTGTCTTTGTGCCCGTGTGCCGTCTCTTTGGCTTTCTGTGAGGATTGATCGATTTTTTCCTGCTACTGGAGGATTGCCGACCCAGCAGTTGTCTTCCTTTGTGAGGACATCAGCACATTTGGCCTGCCGTCTCCATTGAATGTTTCTTCCTTCTGCTGGTGGGCTGATGATGCAGTGACATCGGTGTGAAGAAAGGATTTTTGACAGCTGTCTCTTTAAATATAGAGAAGAAAAATCAGTGTGTGTGTGTGTGTGTGTGTGTGTGTGTGTGTGTGTGTGTGTGTGTGTGTGTGTGTGTGTGTGTGTGTGTGTGTGTGTGTGTGTTAGGGACTGTGGGGTTCAGAGGAAGTGTCACTCCTTAAATAGGACAAATCAGAGTTATAATCCTAGGTGTGTGTTTCAAGTAGTTGTAGAAGAATTATTATTTGTGTAAACAGCTGTTCTCACTGATATCGGTATTAAGTAAATGTGACACATCAGGATATTCAGAGGAAAGAGTTCAGCTTACTTTGGTTTCTGTATATTTTAAGTTCTGATTTCTCCGGAAAGCTTGATTGGGGAAATGATAAATGATAAATGACCCGCACTTGTATAGCGCCTCTCAGAGTAAGGACTCCAAAGCGCTTTACACTACAGTGTATCATTCATCCATTCACACACATTCACACACTGATGGTGATGAGCTACGATGTAGCCACAGCTGCCCTGGGGCGCACTGACAGAGGCGAGGCTGCCGAGTACAGGCGCCACCGGTCCCTCCGACCACCACCAGCAGGCAAGGTGGATTAAGTGTCTTGCCCAAGGACACAACAGCAGTATTCTCTGTCCGGAGTCGGGATCGAACCTGCAACCTTCCGATTACTGGACAACCCGCTCAACTTGTTGAGCTACTGCTGCCCCTACAACTCTCCAGTAGCAGGAAAAAAATCGATCAAACCTCACAGAAAAAAGGAGAATTGCTGTGGCCAGATGCTCCATGTCGTCAGTTCCTCACCAGCATGTTTGGGCCAAAATGTCCCTGGCTGAAAAAGGCTCCGACTGTTTTTTCTGTTCCCATCACTGAGCGAGGCATTTGCTGTAATGGGCTCGTTAGCTGATGTTTACAAAAGGCACTTCAATGATAATCAGGCTGTAGCTTTAATTTTAGTCACGATATCTACCGAGGGAATGTTGGTAGTAGTTTAATCCCACCAGGACCGACTGTCGGACTGATTAAAGAAAGGAATTTGACTTTGATGACCACTTTTGTTTTCTTGAGCTAAAGAGGATCTTCTTATTCTAGAAACAATGTTTATCTCAAAATCGTTTACAGTGCAAGGCAACATCTCCTGGTTAATATATGCAATAGTCAGAGGGGTTATTGCAAACAGGCACCAGTGTTTTCAGCAGAAGTAACCACAGCATGAGACGTCTGAGTCCCCCAGAGGAAGTCTGAGAAGTTGTGAAGTGTAGCTCAACGTGTTGGAAGACACAAACTGCTCAAGTTTAATTACAAAACCTTGTTTTTGTCTCATAAATGATGATGATGAAGTTAAAACCTTGAAGGGATATATTTTTAAGTGACTTTCTGTGGAGAGCTCATAAACAGTTAAAGGTGTGGAACACTGAAAACACATTTTTGAATGATGATTTCTGATTATAATCGGTCACTGTGGGTTTTTCATGCAGGCTCCTGCATTAGTTCCTGATATATAGACGGTGGAACGCTAGGATTGAAAATCAATGCTGTTGCTGTTATCCAATCCAATGCAGGACGTCTGATTATCAGGAAATAAGACTTCAAAACCTGCTGTGTTGTGCCACTCTGCAACAGCAGCCTTGTCCGTGCTGATCCAAATGCTTCTGGGATTTTTTTGCCCTGGGTACAGCCTGCAAGGCATTCATTCCCACCAGAGACCACTGCAAATGCATTCATTAAATGAATTTCCCACATTTTTAATATCTGACCTGTTTTAATTAGCTCTTTAAACAGCCTCAGTTTGAAGAAATAGATAAACAGATGTTACAACAACACAAAGTACCTTTTAACTATTCTAATCTCACAAAAATTCACAGCTGTTAATGCAAATGCTATTTTATAACCTCCAAATGTACATCATATTCACATTTCATAGTTAGCTAGTTCCTCTGCTACTTCCTGCTGCGAACAACCACGGTGTTTTATGGAAATAACCATATATTAAGAAATGCTTTTGTCATGTAAAAAGATGAAGACATGTTTGGTTGAACTGGTAAAATTCTGCAGTAGAGTTGTTTTAGGACAGCAGAAACACTTTGTTATCGGTCCCTTCAAGGAAAGCCATGACTTTATCTGTCTGGCCAGAAATGATCCTTGTTTCTTCAAGCTGAGGTTGTTCAAAGTGCCATTCACAGCAGCTAAATGCTAACTGTTAGCTGCTTTTCACACAAGAATTCCAAATAAACTTAGAAAATATTAAAATCGGGAAAATTTCTAACACAGTTGCACTTATAAACAAGTTTTATCAGCTGGGGATTTTTGAGGAAAATTACATTTTGCATAATTTCATATTTTAAAAATCTTGAAACCTCAGAGTGAATCATGTTGAGCAATTCTTTTACACTTCATACAAAAGAGTTACCTGATGGAAATAAAATGTAATAAATAAAATTCAATAAAGGGACATCTCATTGTTTGCTTTTCAATGTGCTCCTTAGATAAATAGGATAAATATTTAAAATAACCAAGGAACAAGCTTGAGTGTCTTGCCTGAAAATGACCTAAAACCAGAATTTCATAACAGCGGCATGAGCTGTTGGAAAAAAGAAAGAAAAAAAAAACCCAAAGAAGAACTGAAAACATATAGTTCTCCACAAAGTGGATACCATCAAAACAAAGTTCACCGGGTTGCTCACATTTTACCTTTCTTTTTTGTTTTTAGACAAAAAAGAAAGAAAAAGCTATTTATGTCTGTAAATAGCATCTCCAAATAGAAATATTTGGATGTTAGGCCATCTTTTAACTAAACTACTGCTCAGCTACAGAAAGATTGGCCATGTCAGTATAAAATTAAAGTTTCCTCAGCCATTGGTTTTGGAGACAGCTCTGCAAACGCAGCAGCTTTTAAACTTCAATGGCAACATCTCCCAGCAGTGATGATTTGCTTTAATGCAGCACTTCTGCTGCCAGCTGCTGCCTTTGTTGGCCAGAATTTCATCGTAGAGCAAAAGGACAGGGTTTTCTCCCAGAGTTTGGCTGATAGAATATCAAACTGTCCGGATAATGCAACTTGCCACAAACGTTGACAGACGTGACAGTCTAGAGGACATCAGAGCTTTGCAGTCATGACCTCATATTCCATCCACTTTGTCATCACAGCCTCTCACTCAAAATAAGCGTGCGATTTCATCTGAAGAACATTCACTGTCTTGTTTAAAGTAACACAGAGCAGTTTCCTGCTCCTCCGCCCTACTGGGTGAAAGTGGAATTACAACTGTTGTAAACAACCCTGCTGTAGCTAGTGCTAACAATGAGCGAACACTAACATGAGCCAACTAATACTAAAATAAACCACAAAGTAAAGAGATCCACACTGTTGGACAAAAAATATTATTACTCACAAGTCCAGTTGCAACAAAGCCAGGTCACCATCAGTCTGTGATTTTCAGCTCCCTCAAACCAGTGTAGGCCCGCCGATGTTCACTCTGGTTTTAGCTCTTTGCTTCACCTCTAAAAACATTATTCTCATACTTTTACTTCCAGATGCCAACAGAAAAAGCAAACTTCTTCTTTTTCTTCTTCTGATGCTTTTCATTGACGATCGGCAAATTGAAAATGCTAATTGCTGGCATTTGTAGCATGGTGAATTGTCCATTTCTGACCTAAAGGCCCTTCTCTATTTGCTCTGCCCAAGCAAAACCATACGTTTCTGACACAAGCCTAATCTACAAGATATGGGCCACGGCCACTCATGCTCGGTGCTCTTGTCTAAACTGTTGCTGCCTCGGACAGCACAAGAAAGAAGAAAGAATACGAAGAACTGTTTCTCTTTAAATAATAATCAAATAACTTTGTTAGTCCAAATAATCGTGTGAAGCTCAATGTTAAATCAATCTGTGAAATAAGAATATTAATTACTTGATATTATAATCCTATGATAGTATTTTAATAAGTAATATAACTTTAAATATTTACACTAGACTGATCACACATAATGCTTAAGTCACATGACACATTTCCTTTTTCTGATACAATCAGAACCTACCAGATCTGACGCAAGGCGTGGTTTTGTTGGTGCTCGTGTAATCCCTTTTTGTTGTCAAATTCTGATTCGACAGTAAATCGAAACATCCAAATTATAAAACTATGCTCCACGTCGTTTTAACTTCAGTTCCAAGCATTCTAGAGAAGTTATCGGAGTGGCCAATCCGTAACTTTCCTTTTAAAGCTGAAAGAGCCTAACGACAAGCTGGATTAAATCTGTTGCACGTTCCACCTGCTGTAACGGTTCCTACAGAATAAAAGCTGAACCATCACGACCCTCTTCAGGGTCTCGCTGATGCCATTAAACTGTCGTGACCTGGGAGTAACTCAAGACTGGAAGGGTCGGCAACCGCTGCATATCTACAGACGTCGGTTCCAAGAGGGTCTAAGCTGGACCCCCGACATTCCGGATCTAAACGGGGGCTTCCGTTGGGGTACGTAGACCGAGAGATGGCATCTCAATGTGTGTCATAATCTCCAAACCAAAGCTTAGAGCGAAACACCCTTTCACTCCCATTCAGAACTAATAGTCTCTCCGGATTTGCTGGTTCTGAACATATTTCACACACACACCATCCTCAGTCTCACTCCACCTTAGTTACATCATACACATAGTGTTTAGAGTTAGTCTTGTTCAAATTGTTTGGAAATAAATCTTTTAACTTTTTAAATCTGATTCTCTCTCTTTCTTGGAGTTAATAAGTAGTGTTATCTAATCCCTGCAATAAAAATATCCGATCTTCTGCTTTAAGTAACATTCAAAGATCCATCAAATTGATTTCATATTTCCTATGGAATCTCACATTTTATGGGTCATTACTTAAGATGTAACTAACGAATCCTTACACATTACAGCTAACAGCCATAAAGCAGGTAGAAAGCGGCAAAGCGCCCCGTATATGGTACCTACCTGCTCTGTAAAACTATCTAATTTGGTTTTTGGTCTGCAGAGGGCTGCAGAGTGGTTTCAAATGTGAGTTTCTCGCGAGAACGGATGAAGTCGAGCCCACTTTTCTAAACATCCGTCGAACGAGACAGAGAATGCAAGCTTGTGATTGGTCAGGACGCCACTTCCTTTAAATTCTTCAATAGCACCGCCTTTGTCCCCTCAAAAACACAAAGAGAGCCGAAGATATCTAGCTTGAAGCTTGAAGAATACCTCGTGGAAAAATTTAAAAAATATGCACGTTTTATTCATCCGTGACTGGAGGAGTAAAAAGATACGCAGCAAGCTTTTTATTCATGTATGGAAATGATGGGAAACGTCAGTTTAGAGGTGGCGAGCGCATTAAGAGGTGGAGGAGAAAGAGGGACAAATTTGTCCGTGTTAAAAATGTCTCTGAAATACAAAAAACACAGTATAAACACAATAGTAAATGCACTATCTTGGACCAGATACATGACACCCGAGAACAGCGCTACGTCCTCTGTTGGTGGAGAATCGCTTTGCAACACTCCCCAGGAGAAGTCCGAGAGCAAAACGGCCCCGTCAACTCGTGTGCGTCTCTCCCTCGTGGAGCTGACGCAGAAACATAAACTAGGCATAACTCAACAATCTCCTAAATCATTGTTAAAGAAGTAAAAAATAACAGTCTGTATTTACTTTGAAGAAACGTAAATGTGAACGTTTTAGTTTACTCAAACATCTTTATCTTTCATTTATCTTCCAGAGTGGCCCGAGTTTGTTAAGAACTACGCACCGTGGTGGGCATCTCACACCCTGGACTGGCTGACTTATGGGAAGAACATCCACGTGGTCCACTTTGAGGATCTGAAAAGGGACCTGTTTGTGCAGCTTAAAGGAATGGTCCAGTTCCTGGGTTTGGAGGTTTCAGAAGATCGCCTCCTCTGCGTTGAGGGACAAAAGGATGGGAACTTCAAGCGATCGGGACTACGGAAGCTTGAGTATGACCCGTACACTCCAGAAATGCGACAGAACATTGATGAGCTTATCAGAACAGTAGACACCGCTCTGAACAAAAGAAACATGTCTGGAGTTCCTGCAGATTACAAGCCAAGATGATGAATGGGATATTGTTTTCCTCCTAGATTGGACTGGACATGAAGTTTTACAAATGTTGTATATATTGTAGGTCTATTAGGGGAAACCTGCCTCTATTTGCACCTATTTTCTGTTTTATTCACCAGTTCTTGGTCATTCTATTGCACTTCTGAAGAAAAATGCATTCACACATACTGCAGTCTTTGCTATTTTGCTAAACAAAACAAAATAATTTCTTACACTGTTCTATGCACATGTGCTGTGGAGGCATGTGCTCATGCCTTAACACCAAGACGGTACGACAGCTGTGACTACAGAGACTTAACACAAATACTACAACAAAATCTTGCACAGGCTTATTTTGTGCAAAAGAAAAATATATTATAAAATTGAAATGTTCTATTTTCAGCTGCTACCACAGTTCCAGATCTGTTTTCTAAATGAGGTTCTCTGGAACTGACTCTGTTCCTCAGAGGGGAACATGCAATATCTAAAGAAAGACTACCCATTAATAATGAACTTGTGTGTTTCCTTTATTTTTTTCGAAGTTATTTATCTTATTTTTTTCTTAATCAAGAGTTCATTGCCTTTCAGTTAAATGAGTGATTGCTACTGAAGGATCTGACTCTGGTAGAGATAAAGTGCATTGACCCTTCATCTCTTCATGAGTCAGATATTGACCATCAGCATTATTTCCTCTGGCATTTACTGCTCATACTTGATTATCAATGTTTTATTAACACTGGATTTGATGCATTAAAAATATCCAAAAAGCAACACTTTCCCCCAAAGATTACTGAAGATGACAGTCAAGTTTGGGGTTGGAAATTGTTTTAGGTCTGATCCATCCATTTTCATCCGCTTATCCAGAGTTGGGTTGCGGGGGCAGTAGCCTAAGGTGAGAGGCCCAGACTTCCCTCTCCCCAGCCACTTGGGCCAGCTCCTCCGGGGGAATCCCAAGGCGTTCCCTGGCCAGCCGAGAGACATAGTCTCTCCACCGTGTCCTGGGTCTACCTTTAGGTCTCCTCCCGGTTGGACGTGCCCAGAAAACCTCACCAGGGAGGCGTGCAGGAGGCATCCTGACCAGATGCCCGAGCCACCTCAACTGGCTCCTCTCGATGTGGAGGAGCAGCAAATCTACTCTGAGCCCCTCCCGAATGACCGAGCTTCTCACCCTATCTCTAAGGGAGAGCCCAGCCACTCTTCTGAGAAAACTCATTTCGGCCGCCTGTATCCGCGATCTCGTTCTTTCGGTCACTACCCAAAGCTCATGACCATAGGTGAGGATAGTTACATAGATCGACCGGTAAATCGAGAGCTTCGCCTTCTGACTCAGCTCTCTCTTCACCACGACAGACCGGTACAACGACCGCATCACTGCAGATGCAGCACCAATCCGCCTATCGATCTCACGCTCCAGTTTTCCCTCATTCGTGAACAAGACCCCGAGATACTTAAACTCCTCCACTTGGGGCAGGACCTCATCCCTGGCCCGGAGAAGGCATTCTACCCTTTTCTGAATCAAGACCATGGTCTCAGATTTAGAGGAGCTGATTCTCATCCCAGCTGCTTCACACTCGGCTGCAAACCGCTCCAGCGAAAGCTGAAGATCACGTTCTGATGAAGCCAACAGGACCACATCATCTGCAAAAAGCAGAGACCTGATCCTCAGGCCACCAAAATGGATGCCCTCCACACCTTGGCTGCGCCTAGAAATCCTGTCCATAAAGGTAATGAACAGAATCGGTGACAAAGGGCAGCCTTGGCGGAGTCCAACTCTCACTGGGAACGAGCCCGACTTACTGCCGGCAATGCGGACCAAGCTCTGACACCAGTCATACAGGGACCTAACAGCCCGTATCAGAGGGCCTGGTACCCCATACTCCTGGATTACCCCCCACAGGGCCCCCCGAGGGTCGCGGTCAAATGTCTTCTCCAAATCCACAAAACACATGTAGACTGGTTGGGCAAATTCCCACGCTCATGACCGTTTTAGGTGTGATGTTATAGTTGTTTCTCTAAGCAAATTACACTTTTTTTGAAAAAGCTTTAAAACAACTAAAGTTTGTCGATTAAAAAAACACTCCGGGAAAAACATTCAAAACCTGAACATGTTACGATACGCTAAGTGATTTTTCACGTTTCTAAGTACAGAAAGTATTAAATACAGGAAGTAAAAAGGAATGAAATCATTAGGGACTGAGCTGACTTCCATTTCCAGTATAATATAAATATATTTTTATAGTATGCATCAGAAAAATTTGTATTGCAAAGAGAAATTTGGAAAAAAAATTCTATTTTTACTGTATGCTTTAAACTTTACTCCTGCTTTGATGACAAGCTGGAGCTGAACAGATGTCACATCTGAATGTATTTTATACAAAATGAATGTAAAGAAAGAAAGCCCAATAAATGAGTATATCAATTTAAAAAGCTATAGTGTGCTGTTGTTATTTAAGATGTACAGTGGTATTTGATTTGTCTTACTTAAAGGTGTGGAACACTGAAAATCTATTTTTTCATGATTACAATCAGTCACTCTGAGTTTTTCTTGCAGGTTGAACATGAAAATTATCTCCAACACCTACCTCCTGCATTAGCTTTGAATAGGAAATAGACGTTGAAATGCTAGATTTTGAAAATCCTGATAGATCTACGTCACACCGACGCTTATTGCTCATGGACTAATGACAGGAGAGACTGTTGTTGGTTTATCATCTGGGGATCAGCAAAGGACGTCTCAAGTAGCAGACGCCAATCGTTAGCATTAACAACTTCACCACATGGCAGAAGCTCCTCCAGGCTCGTGTTATTAAACATTGATGTTGTAAGTCAGTAGTCGTCACGTTGCTGTTTTCCAATCCGGGGAGAGATGTCTAAACTTTCCAAATCCTTCTATCTGAAGCTCAGCTTTGATGTGGGTAACTTTTGGGTCTAAGAAATAAACTTAAGTAAAAGTATTAAAGTATGAATTTTCTAATGTACTTAGGACAAAAGTATTCAACTAACATGTATGCTGTGTGTGTAGAAGTCTGCAGTCGGACCAGGTGAAGCAAAACACAAATTCAAGTACCATTACCTTTGGAACTGTAGTGCAGCACAGATAAGGTCACCCACCCCACGCCCCAATCGTCATCAGACCAACGGTGGAGTAGGTCGTCGTCTTCCTCCGCTTATCCGGGTCCGGGTCGCGGGGGCAGCATCCCAACTAGGGAGCTCCAGACCGTCCTCTCCCCGGCCACCTCCACCAGCGACCTCCACCAGCTCCTCCGGCAGGACCCCAAGGCGTTCCCGACTATAGCCCCAGTTGACGTCAGCAGCTCCCCATCCCCACTGTAAACAGCGTGAGCAAGTTGCTGCCTCCCTCTCCTGAGACGCCGGACAGTTTGCCAGAACCTCTTTGGAGCAAATCGATAGTCTTTCTCCATGGCCTCACCAAACTCCTCCCACGCCCGAGATTTTGCCTCGGCAACTGCCACTGCTGCACCCCGCTTGGCTATCCGGTACCTGTCTGCTGCCTCCAGAGATCCACAGATCAGCCACGCCCTGTAGGCCTTCTTCTTCAGCCTGACGGCTCCCCGAACCTCTGGTGTCCACCAGCGGGTACGAGGGTTGCCACCACTACTGGCACCGGCCACCTTACGACCACAGCTAGCAACAGCCGCCTCAACAATCGCAGAGTGGAACAAGGCCCACTCGGAGTCAATGTCCCCCACTGCTCTCAGGATGCGGTCAAAGCTCTGCCGGAGGTGGGAGTTGAAGACCGTCTTGACAGGTTCTTCTGCCGTTCCCAGCAGACCCTCACTATGCGATTGGGTCTATGCGGCATCTTCCCCTGCCATCTGATCCAACTCACCACCAGGTGGTGATCAGTTGACAGCTCCGCTCCTCTCTTCACTCGGGTGTCCAAAACATACGGCCGCAGGTCAGATGATACGACTACAAAGTCATTCATCGACCTGTGACCTAGGCTGCCCTGGTACCAAGTGTACCGGTGGGCATCCTTATGTTCGAACATGGTGTTCGTTATGGCCAAACTGCGGCTTGCACAGAAGTCCAATAACGAAAGACCACTCGAGTTCAGATCAGGCGGGCCGCTCCTCCCAATCACACCCCTCCAGGGCATGCTGTCATTGCCCACGTGAGCATTGAAGTCCCCCAGCAGGACAATGGAGTCCCCTGATGGAGCACTATCTAGCACTCGTCCCAGGGACTCCAAAAAGGGTGGGTACTCTGAACTGATATTTGGCCCATAAGTACAAACAACAGTCAGGACCCGTTCCCCAACCCAAAGGCGCAGGGAAGCTACCCTCTTGTCCCCCGGGGCAAACCCCAACACACAGGCAGAGAGTCTCGGGGCTAACAAAAAGCCAACCCCAGCCCTCCGCCTCTCACCCGGAGCAACTCCAGCCACTCTCAAGGACTTGGGTTCCAGAGCCAATGCTATGGGTCGAGGTGAGTCCGACTATATCTAACCGGTACCGCTCAACCTCTGCCACAAGCTCCTGCTCCTTCCCCGCCAGCAAGGTGAAGTTCCATGTCCCAAAAACCAGTTTCCTTGTCCGGGGATCGGACCGCCAAGGCTCCCGCCTCGGTCTGCCATCCGATCCACACTGCACCGGACCCTTCATGTTGCTCCTGCAGGTTGTGGGTCCACAGTTGGATGAGCCATGTATCCGGTTCGGGCTGGGCCCGGCCGGGTCCCATGGGCGAAAGCTCGGCCACCAGGCGGGCGCTCGCTCACGGGCCCCAACCCCAGGCCTGGCTCCAGGGTGGAACCCCGGTAACCCTCCAGGCCAGGTACTCCGACTCCTTGATAGTTCATCCATGAAAGATCCTCTGAACCGTTCTTTGTCTCACCCTTCACCTAAGACCAATTTGCCATGGGAAACCCTACCAGGGGCACAAAGTGCCCCAGACAACATACCTCCCAGGATCATTAGAGCACTCAAACTCCTCCACCACAATAAGGTGACGGATCAAGGAGGAGCGGTGGAGTAGGTGTCGGACAAAACTCAAACAAAAATACTTTTAGTTCTGAAAGTTTTTGGAAAATGTGGTGGAGTAAAAGTAAAGAGTAGGCCTCAAGAAAATTACTTAGGGAAAGTACAGATACAGAAAAATTGTATTCAAGTACAGTAACAAAGTACTTGTACTTCATTACATCCATCACTGAAAATGTAAATATTTAACTTGTACAAATGAGTTATTTACATGTTTATTTGCTTTCTTTTATCTTTCTTTGAGAAATGTTGCCATCCATTTATTAAAAAAAAAACTTTCTTTTCTTATCACAGGCTGTTGTTTATAAATCTGCTGCATGTAATTCTTCTTTCCCACAATTATCATGCCAATAGGAGATTAATAAAGATCATTCAGGAACACACAACAGTGTTTTTAAGCCTGACTGGTGATATGAAGGTGCCCGTTTACTGGAATAATAAAACCAACCCTGTGATCCCTTATAGAAACTAGTACCCAGATTGTTTCTACTGGAGAACCAGCTCTAGAACCTGTCACAGTTACTCTTGTGAAAAAAAAATGCTATCATATTCATTGTCTTCTGCAGATGAGCAGAGCTGTAGACGGTGTTATCTTCTCTTATAAAAGATGGTCCAGTGCATCCCGCGCTAAAGCAGATTATGCAGGAAGAGCCGAAGCTCCTTTTTGCTTAAAGTCTTAAACCAGCTCTAATCATGGCTGCCACTTAAGCCCTTTTACAGACATAAGATTTAGTGACATTAATGGTTTTGTCCTCCTGGTGGAACAACGGCGTTCCCTCCTTAATACACACATCACATTCATGCTAAGGTCCCATAAGGAACAGAAACATAATCTTTACACATTCTTTGTTTTCTGTATGACAGCTCATCAAAGGAGGAACCATCCAGGGTTTGTTTACTAGAACAAGACTAGAACAGACTGCCATCTTGAACGTTCTGTGAGTGTGAATCACACCGCCTGGAAGCACGACTTCTCTTAATGTTTACGTTTATTGAACATAAAGGAAAATGTAGATTTCTACTTCTGCAGAAGAACACTGACTTGACATTATTGCTGAGCCTGATTTATGGGAGATGAATTTCTATTAAAAGCAGATTAATATATGATTTCCACTTTGTTTTTATCATTGATGGTTCTAAATTAGTTCAGCCTTGTTTCGGGTAAGTGGAAAAATATCAGGTTTCCGCTTTATTGGTGCACCCTAAGAGAGACAGGAGCCGTAACACTGAAGCTTACATGAAGCCAACACACATAGAGACCATAATCTAGTTTAACGATCTTATCACCCACCGGAGCATGCACCACTCATCCAAGCTCTACAGCGTTGAGTCAAACTGGTTCGTGTGGGGATGCAAAGAAAGAAAAAACAAGTACAATACATCAAAGAAGCACTTCAGACCAGTTGATTCCATGATTGGGTTGATGTTAAAGCAGCCAGGAGATCACGAAAACACTCAACTCAGTTCAATGAAGAATAAAAGGAAAACATGAAGATCATTCCAAATGTGACTGGAGGTTTTGTTGTATACTGAAATTATTCACTGTATCATTCGTCTGGGTTGATAAGAGGAGCAAAGAAGACAGGAAGTATAACAGAGGGAGGAGACACCACAAGATCAGGAGGTAAGGAGGAGACTATCGACTGAAAAGCCTGAGCAAACACTTTTTCACTGTTTGTCACAGAGCTGATTTTGCCAGGAGAGCACAGAAAATCATTTGTTTGTACCATTGTGCTGCGCCCTGTAATGCTGTATCACCACCGCATTTACTGGTGACTCTTTACACCTATACGTCATCTGATCACGTGTGTGTGCCATAGTGGACATAAACAATGAGATAAGGACAAAAATAGCGACTGAAATTATTATTTTTTGCTAGTTTAGGCTGGCTGCTACTATAGCTCACTTCCTTAAGAGAAGCATTGGGTCTGGGAGCTCTCCTATTCAAATAACCCCACCCTTGAGAAATCTAAAGGAGCCAATCAGCGCTGAGCAGCGTACGCCACACACTGCAATGCTGAGTTTCTCATGAACAACGAAGACGGCGTCTGAAGCGGAGTTCGCTGCGGCTCTTTCCTCTGTTCTAAATGACTTGGTTATGTCTTTAAAACCACAAGAAGAAGTGCTAAAAGTCTCTGTCACCATCAGTTTTTTATTATAAAGACAAGTCGACTTTACACTCTTGTCTGTTGGTGCAGCCAATCATGCAACATGCTACTGCCATTTCACGGTGGAATCAACAAACGAAGCAAGTCCTTGTTATGTTCTTCCTGTGTTTCTTTTCAATCTCCATTGTTTTTTTTTTGTGTTGTTTTTGTTTTCTTGCTTAATACACAGCGTAGCAAAGTTTTTACCTTGAATTGTTGACAGTTTCAGCATCACAGAGTGGCCATCTTTAGAGCCTCGCCGGTGTCACTTCCGCTGTTTATCCTGAACACAATCTGAAGGTCCGTTTTTGGCTAACGCTCTGAAGATGTTCGCAGCCGCAAACAAAACCGTCAGCAAGGTAAAGAAAAAGCTTATCTGTGTTTAAAAAAGAACCAAAAATGGAATTAGAAGACAAACACAGCAAGAACGTACAAAAAATATAATCTGAAGGTGGCGACTGTGACGTCAGCAATTCAATGTAAAACTTTGCTACGATGTGTATTAAGCAAGAAAAATAAACAATGGAGAATGGAAAACAAAAGCAATTTAAAGGTACAAACTAGCTTGTTTTGGACTAGCTTAAAATAGTTTAAGTGCACGTAAATAGTTCCTTTGACGTCCATCAAGCAAAAGAGGGTCAGTAGACGCTCACAGCAGAAATTAATGGAAGATTTGTATCACTTCCATTAAGAATATTTGTATAATCTGAATCTGACAGCAGTGTCAGGTGTTCCCATGAACAGTTACAACTAAATAGAGATTTTATTTTTTAAATAACAGAAATTCACTCAGTCACTGGCTCCTCCACTAGCTGTTACCCTGATCAGAATCAGTCTATATTTCTCTAAACTAAAGCTGTTCAGGGAGCAGCAATTTAAACAAGCTGTTCATAATCTTTCAACAGAAGTCTTCTTCAAAATAATTATCACTTTAAGTTTGTTTCCTCAGTAACTTTTTTTGACTGTTTTAGCTTTGGTGCCACATCTTAGACAACAGCTCAAAAAATAAAGTCACAGGAGAAGAATTTAAAATTTCTTATTAAAAATCTGTTCTAAGCTGTTAAAAAAACAAAACACGTGCAGATTTTAAATCTCTGGAGCACTCATCCGTCAGGATTCTTCTGCAAACATGGTGACGACATAAAGGTCAGATATAATGAATGCTTTAGGAAGAAAATATCTTCTGAGAATTAAACAGGAAGAATTTATTTGCTCATGATGAGAAATAGAGGAGTGCAGAATTAGAAAGTTCCCACATTAATTTCATGTCATGTAAAAGTGTCTGTTTTCACAGTCAGATAGATGCAAATGCTCTTTTACGTTTGTTCTGGCGGCTGTGGGTTTGTTTTTTTGGCCCAAAGGATCGTTGAGAGAGAGAAGACGCGGCGTATGGAGGCTGCAGAGCTGTAGAGCTGAGGGGAACTGCATGCATGAGTTTTCAAACCATCCTCCATCAAAGAGTAATTATTTTTTATTTTCACATGTGGTCAATATGTCACTATTAGAAACACTAAAGAGGTGAGCTGGGAAATTACTGATTGATATGACTGCAGATGATAGAATAAAAAACACTTCTAGGATTGTAAATTTACTCCTGAACTCTTAACTTAAATTGTAGTATTTTAAAATCATAAGGTTATAAAAACATAAATGCATTTACTTCATTTCATTTAGAATTAAATGTTTTTAAAACAGTTAATTATTTTTTAAAAAGCTTTTCTTTCTTTACCCAAATCATTTACAACACAGTTTACAAACAACTTTGCTTTATAGTTGATCCAGTTGATTATTAAAGTAACCCTTTGAACAAACTCTGATCCAAAGTAGATAAGAGTGCAAACAGAACTGGAAGGACTCCTCACTTGTTTAAATACACATGTAGAAGTTGCCCTAAAAGTTTTCTGTGTCAGTAAATGCAACCACAGGATTTCCTTTATTGCATGAGGTGAAAAGTGTAGATGGGTGTGGGGGTGTGGGTGTGGGGGTGTGGGGGTGGGGGTGCATCGAAGCCTACATGTGCATAAAAAGGTTTTAGATGATTTTAATTCTCATTTTTGTTCTACTTACTTCCTTTTATTTTTACAAACAAGCATTTTAAAACTTAATCAACTTAATTCTCAAAGAAATGACTAAAGCCTTTTAAAAGAAGCTCCAAATCCTTATTTTGGCTTTGCCAAAAAGTAAACGACTCAACCCCACCAGAGCCTTAGAAATCTCTGTAATTATTAGCTTTGATGCTTGGAGATCCTCTAAAAACTTATTTTAAAAATTATTTAAACAACAAAATAATAGATTTCATAGCTTTTTTCCTACAAAATACAGATCAAACTTTAAAGATTCTTCATTACTTCTATTTACAAAAGTTAAAATGATGAGATAATGGGTTCATGAGGCTAAACTGTCAGCTGCTGCAGTAAAAAGTCCAAACAAATCATCACATTTGCTGGGAACATTAATCAGTATGATTCCTGCAAAGAAGTGTGTTTGTCCTGTGAATGCCCATTTTTTTGTGGAACTTCAGCACATAAATTCAAAGTTGAAGGTTCCGACCACCTCTAAATGTGCGTGGAAGCTCTGTTGTCCATTGAGCTGGATCTGGACAGGTACCGACTGGTGGTGCGGCCCTCCTCTTCCATCGCACGCCTCATCTTTGACACCAGAGAGCTCCTGAACTTCTGCTTGAAGTCATTGCCCATGAAGACGTAAAGCACAGGATTGAAAAAACTGTTTGCGGCTGCCAAAGACGTACCGACTTTAAGGCCAGTTGTTAAGAGATTGTGGTCATACTTGTGGCGGTTTAGCTCCATAAGGATGAAGACGTGGTAGGGCAGCCAGCAGAAGAAGAAAGCGCCGATGAGCGCGCTCATGACCTTGAACGGTTTGGAGGATTTCATCATTCTGTTGTTTCGAAGTTTGAGGACGATAATAGAGTAGCAGATGATAATGACGACGAAGGGGATGAGGAAGCCTGTGATGAAGCGGCTCACTGCGATGGTCTTGTGGATGTCCTGGGACGGGTAATTGTTGAAGCAGGAGTTATTATGAACGTCTCGGTAGATCATGGAGGGAACGCTCAGCCCCACGGCCAGAATCCATGCAATGACAACCATAAAGGAGGCTTTTTTAACAGTGCGCTGGTTCTGAGCCCAAACCGGAAACACAACAGAAACGCAGCGGTCCACACTGATGATGATGAGAAGAAAGATGCTGCTGAACATGTTGAGGAACATTACTGAAGAGGCGAACTTGCACATAAAGAGACCAAAAATCCACTCTTCCATCACCATGAAGGCAATGTTGAACGGGAGGAGAGCACAGAAGATGAAGTCGGAGATCGCGAGGCTCAGGTACCAGGTGGTGTTGACCGTCTTCTTCATCTTGAAGCCGGAAATCCAGATGACCAAAAGGTTCCCAAAGAAACCCAGAAGGAAAATGAGCACACTGACAACAATCAGACACACCCAAGCGCTGTCCCGTACCGAGGTGGTTTTAGTGAGTGATATGGATTGAGATATTGTGTCATTGTTGTTGCGATAGATGTAGGTACTGTTTTCATCATAGTCAACGTAATAATCCCCCAATTCCATTTTGTAGAAAAACCTGTGAAAAAAGAAAACATTAAATTAGTAACATTTTACCAAATGGATCATCATTTTCCAGTAATTAGAGTAAAAATATTTAATCTTAAATGAGTGTTAATAAATAAAATTATACCTGTAGTTCAGACCTGCTGCGCCGTTGTCTCAGTTGTGGTCTGAGCTCAGCATCAACTGCTTCCTTTAGCTTTGTCACAAACAGTGAACGCAAT